GGGGGGGGGGGGGGGGGCAGAGAAAACCTGTGGTGTTTGATAAAGTCAAACTAAATGTTCACATGCGACTAAAACAAAATCAGACAAGTGCATATTGAAGGAATTCAACCCCTGTTTGTATTTCCAACCTCGTATAGTCACCATGACCGTGTGTTGGTCGAGTAGGATCTTCGCTGCCAGGGTGCTGGGCCGAGTTATCTGGCTCTCGAGGTTTTGAAAGTTCACGCAGACGCAGTGTGGATCTCTGAATGTTGTGATGGTGCGTTAGATCCAAACTAGAAACAGATGAAATTATTAGTTCTCGCGTTTAATGAGGCAAATGCTCCTTGCCCAGTGATGAGAATCTCGTTATCTTTCCAATGTTTTAAATATCCCATTCGGTCATTCCCTGTTTTGACTTAAAAAGTATATATTTTTATATTTTTACTATCCATTAACTATCATTATGATAAACTTACTTAGGTGTCTGCTGTTCACGTTTTCTCCTGCAAGAAAAATAGATAACATGTTAACAATGCAGCAATGTTTTGAATTTGAACTCAATGAGAAGACTACACAACTAAAAACCTTGTTACAAGTTGGCAAACAAGTTGTTACAAATCTGTTCACAAGCTGTCGACAAGTTGTGTTCGCACTGCTTGTTCCCAGTTGTTGTAACAAGTTTGGAACAAGCTGTTAACAACTTGTAACAAACTTGATGGATTACCAGACTTGCAGCAAGGTTGTTCTAACAAGTTTGATACAGCCGAGATATCACAAGAATGTTACAAGGTTGTAACAATATTGTTATATCATGACTGTATCGGACTTGTTGGAACAATCCTGTAACAAGTCTGATAATATCAACAAGGTTGTTACAAGTTGTTCACAGCTTGTTCCAAATTCGTTGACAACTTGGGACAAGCAGTGCTGACACAACTTGTTGACAGCTTGTGGGCAGACTTGTTAGAAGATGCGAGATGGTACCAGCAACACGATAATGCGATGAGGTACAATTCCAATCTGTACGTACTTTCCTTCGCGACCAAAGCACATGATAATACTGAGAATGAGGACGAACAGAAGGATTATGATGATCGGTATGACGACAACAAGGATGAACTCAATGTCAAAATCTCTCGCACTCTCGTCCAGGGCTGGAGGACTGTAACTGACAGCTCGGATTATCCTGTCAGGAGGCAAGAGCGCCTGGCGTTCAGCTTCTGGAGATTTCACTACACGTAGATCGATCTGGGTAGAGAAAAGAAAACCATAACTGTAGCACGCTCTTAGAGAGTTCTATTGTCCCGAAACTAACTTTATTTATACTGGATAGCTCTATGAGTTCTAAACTGTTCTCCCTAGATGTCCAGTAATTAAGGATCATCTCTTATTGATCCAGTATTACTCAGGAGGAAACCTAAACTAACTTTATTTATACTGGATAGTTCTATCAGTTCTAAATAGTTCTTCGTAGAAGTGGAGTAAGGGTCATCGCATCGTCCAGTTTAACGACTGGAGGACGACAACACTCACCCATTTGAAACGGGACCAATTAATTTCAAAGCCCATATTCTTGAAATAATCAACACTTGGTTCTTTCCCTGGTTGAAGTGTACTGCTGTTAGCCTCGGGCCACATCTGACTGCTACCAACACGCACAATTACCCTGCAATGATGAGAACAAATGGTTAATTAGAACAAACTTGATGTTCTAAACTGCTTTTTCTAGAAAATCATCTCTTATTGATCCAGCGTTACTACAGGAGGAAACCTACACTAAACTAACTTTATTTATACTGGATAGCTCTATTAGTTCTAAACTGTTCTTCCTAGAGGTCCAGTAAGGATCATCTCTTATTGATCCAGTGTTACTACAGGAGGAAACCTAAACTAAACTGACTTTATTTATTTTTTGCCCTTACCCTTCATGATTATTTGAATGGGGTAGTGGTACACGTCCGCCATGTCCAATAGCCGACATAACCAGCGTTAACCCAAGGTCATTTGACAACCAATAATTATCCTTAACAATTTTAGCAATCAACTTATCATCCCCGTCATCCAGAAATTTATCTAGAGTCTTATTCTTTATGAAGAATTCTGCTTGGAAGAACGGGAAATCTTTAAAAAAGATGACACACAAAGGATTAGTTGGATGTCAATGGCTACCAGGGAGCAAAAATAATATTTAGTGTTTATTCTGGTAACTTACCATCATCAGTAACATGGACATCTTGTACAACCCTGACTGTTGAGTAAGTTTCTTTGTCCCAACCTATGACCTGGAGAGCAACAAACAATGAATGAACCAATGCTTCGCAGCTAGCTGTCAAAGCCTTCAATATTAATGTTTTCAAATTCAAGGCTGGAACACCAGTGGTGTTTGGCGGAGTCAAACTTTAAGCAATCTTCAGGCAACAGAAATGATAAAACTAAACAAAAAGGTAAAACAAAATTCTTACTTCAATTTTTGTGCTTTCATCCCAGTTCCCAGGGGCACCATAAAGAAATGCAGGGGCACTTGCTCTTCTTTGCTCAAGATGAAGCCAAGATGGCAGTTGAGGATAATCACATTCAGTTGAGAAGTTGAATGACACCTCAAGATCTAGAAAATATTCATCACAGATACATTAACACTTAACAGCATTCACTCTCATGTAAAAATTGACTTATCTATCTCTCTACTCTGGGTGTAGGTAATGAATGTAATCCTTAAACAACAATTTCAACATCACTATTAATACCACAATTATGTGGTTGGACCATGGCACCGCCATTAACCCAAACTTCTTGCGTTGACAAGTAAAAACAACTGGCAGAAGTGAAATATTAAAGTAGGGTGCATCAGGGCACATTGCCATTTCATGGGTTTATGAATTCACACATTGAAAGAATTTACAAACGTTGAAATGAACTTACCAGCCAGTGTGTTGTTGGGAGCAAACTCGCCTTTCATAAGTGGATATTTCATAAAAAATCCTTTTCGAAACGATGTTGGGAAGTCCATCATAAGAGCTGCATTTCCAAAGGAAACAAGGACTAAAAAAATTTACAAAGGACAAAACCTTACATGATTTATCTTTCATATACAGAACAAGAACCTGCATTTAATGACATTTATGAATTAAAACTTCCCATGATTGTTGTTACTATAATAAACTATAGGATGGGTGTCTCTAAAGCCCTGTTTACACTACGCTCAATTGTTGGTATGGCACGGATAAAATTGGAACCCGTACAACTTTTAATCCAATTTTATCCGTGCCATACCAAAAATTGGGTGTAGTGTAAACAGGGCTTAATAAGTACTATATCATTCAGCTGTTATCAGAGTGAGAAAATAATGTAAGTTAATTCTTTTTATTATATGTAGTAGTCTTGTATTGGAGGTTTGCAATTGAGAGATGCAGTTATAATTTATTTACTATATGTTTTAACATTTCACAAATTGATTACTATCTGACAATTGTTACTCTATATACATGTACATCAACCTATATTTATCATATCATTACAACTGAATATAATCAAAGCAGGATGGAATAAAATATCACCAGTATTATAATATTGTACCTGAATTATTACATGAAAGCATACCACTACCTACACACTTAATTATATCCTATCCTTTATTTAATAACAGGGATATACAATATTGATAGCTTTTCAACTTAATTTAACACTTCAACGAAAAAAACACATTGGTACTGCATTAAATGCATCAAAAATATGTTTTCTGAGTCCTAAAACCTAGATTTATTCTTTAGAACAATTTAAAATAACAATTATATGCTATAGAATATTCCAAAATGTAGCAAAAAAGTTCCAAAATGTAACAAAGATAAAAGTAGCAAAATGTGGGGAAAAATGTAGCAACTGTGGGAAAAAATAATTAGAACGTTTATGCATGGGAAAAAGAATATAGAACGTTCTTCGTGGGAATAGAACGCTTAGCGTGAGAAAAAAAACTTTTAAAAAATAAAAATACGAGTTGTTTTGAACATTTTCAATAATTCACGCAAAGTTACAGTAGATGTCACGCTAATTGGCCTTAGGAATGTTCTAACATGCCCAAAATATTCAAAACAGTCTGCCGGTTCGAACACAGCTATTTCAAAACAGTTCGCTAAATATATCATGTATTTAAGGTCACAATGTTCGAAATAAAGTATTTAAAGTACAACAGAACTATGATCTATAATTACAGAGCAGAAATGCTTCACAGCTAAGCACATAGCGGCCTTTACTAATGGGGCATAAAATCAGTGAAATATCCATACCTGTTAATGTCAAAAAACGCACAATCAAGCCAGTTAAAGCCATCTTTGGAGAATAAGCGTCTTTTCTGAGGTCAAGAGAACAAATTTAAAGCAAGAACACGATTTTGAATACCAGAATTCGACGAGAAATCGAGAAATGCCAGTAGTTTCGAGTGCTGCTCGCTTTATATCTGATCGCGATCTTCTGTTTTGTTTTTGATTGCAATTTGGCGCCCGCATTCCCACTGCACAGCTGAGGGGGATCTCTATATAAGACTGACACTGGAGTACTATTGAGGTGTATTGGGCGTGTAATTAAGATCGAGAACAGTTTAAAACTGATAGAGCTAACTTCACTATATAAACAAATTTCATTCAGTTTAATTTTTATGGATTGTATTTGGAAAACCAAAACACACAATTTATTGAATACTAAATAATACACTAAAATACTAATTTACAGTGTTCCTCAGTCATGCAAACTTGATGCATGGGGTAACATGCATGGGGAAAAGGTTTACATATAATTTATATACAAACTGATTATGTACAAAGCTAAATTAGCTAATAAGCTTTAGGGTCCACGATTCTATAAAAATAAATTTCAGCTAAAAAATAAGCTGCCGTGGTTTGTGTCTGAACTACTTGGACAAGAAAATTTAAACAATCTTTATATGTTTCAGGTGCTTCAGATACAAACCAAGGCCGCGTATTGTCTACGCAAAACAAATCTAATAAAATTTTAACTCCTAATAGAGCTTTAATTTGCTTGGCACTAATGTAATACCATGCTTTCGTCATCATATGGCAAAATATTTTTGTTATGATTAACTCTTTATGAATAGTTCATGAGATGGCAAAATTGAACTAAGTCATAGACTAACGCCCGTATTCTAAAAGCTCACTCACACTCGCACTCAATGAGTGGAGGTTCAATCTGAAATTTTCTTGAGTGTCAATGCTGTTTTTGAATAGGTGGAGAGTGAGTAGTCACATAGAAAGGTACGACACTAACCCTCCAGCTATTCAAAAACAGCATTGACACTCAAGAGAAGCTCAGAATGAACCTCCACTCATTGAGTGTGAGTGAGCTTTTAGACTACGGGCGTAAGTGCTATATATCGTGAAGGCATATAGAATTGAGAGATTAAGTTTAACACTTTGACTCATATCAAGTGTGAAAACCATCCACAAAGCATCTTTGAGAATTTCATTGCACCTCAAATAACCAAATTATGGCCAGTCGCCACGCTGGTTGCTACGAGATTAAATCGCCACGCTGGTTGCTACGAGATTAAATTCAATCGCCTACGCTGATGACTCGCTGACGTAATTAGAGTCTGTAGGGCTGTGCGTAGCTTGATTGGCTTCCTCGTATATCGGCATTATACGACTGTTCGAGCAAGGAATACTGCTTGAGACACTGGTCACTCCTTCGCTACAAACGCTGTCTTTTCTCAAATGAAAGTTATGACCATTTCTAACCCCAGGCCCTTCTATAACCACTCCGTCTGTTGTCTCGGTTTCTGAGAGGTGGTCACGCTTTACGAATCTCACCACCTGAAGTATGGAAAATAAGAGAATTAACGCGTGATATTACACATTTCAGTTATTGAACTGAAGCTGGTTGGTTTTCTTTTTTTTTTTTTTTTAAATTTTATTTTCCCATGTACATTACAATAAAACTGAAGCTGGTTGTTCGAAAGTTTGTTAGCCCAATTCTACACAACGAACAAATCTCACAACTCGTCAACAAGATGTGTTCGCAATAGACTTGTAGCAAGCTTGTCAACAAGTTGTAACAATGCTGTTATTTTATCAAGTTGCTACAAGGTTGTCACTCACAACTTGTTGAATTGTAGCAAGTTGTCGGGCTGGGAACAAGCAGTGCGAACACATCCTGTAGACAAGTTGTTTCAGATATACATTTGTTAAAACTTAACTATTTTAGATTTAGGGCATAGTTAGAGTTAGGTTAGAACAGTTTAGAAATGTTAATGGTATCCAGTTTAATTTAGTTTGGTTAATTTGGTTAACATTAATTTGGTTAAGCATTAGTTTGGTTAACATTACGTTATTTAAAAGTTTAACGGTTTAAATACCCTGGCGTATCCATTTGGCGTAGTGTCAATGCCAAGTACAAGACGTTTACCCTTTATTAAATATAAATATCAACCTTTAGTTCGTTTAATAGTGTTTTAATGATCTAATGATCCGGGCTGCACAGTACTCAGATGTGTCTTTCATCTCTGTAACAGGACCTTCATTCCCGCAAAACTCAGTTGTCTGATTATAATTTCTCCTCGGTCTCATGTGGTAAGAATGTTTCCTGTTTGACTCTACCAAAAATAAGTTTTCTTCAGCTACTCTATCAGTCGTATGATGTGAGCTATATCCAGTATGAATAAAGTTAGTTTAGGTTTCCTCCTGTAGTAACACTGGATCAATAAGAGATGATCCTTACTGGGCCTCTAGGAAGAACAGTTTAGAACTGATAGAGCTATCCAGTATAAATAAAGTTAGTTTAGGTTTCCTCCTGTAGTAACACCG